GGGGATCGATGGTTCGCTCCATTAAATCTTTGTGTTCAGCAGCTGTAAACTCTGGTGAAAAGTTCTGGTTGTTCGTCCACTTCAAGACTTTAGGCTTATTTCAGAACCCGAAAGTTTTATATACATTCATTTTACAGATCTGGGCTCTCCTTTCAACTTAGGCCGTTAGCTGGAAAGCTGCCGATCGCTTAGTGAAAGTTCTCTCCCTTGCCTGCATTGTAAATACGGTGCGGAAAAGTCACGAATCAACAAACACAGTGAGGTCGACAACGGGGCTGCAAATGCTTGGGTGTTTCCCCCAGATCTGGGTGTTTATTTGACGCTTCGGGGAAATCTGGTTTTTTTTTTAAAGTAAATATATCCTTACATAAAAGTGGTATTAGTTGCCACGGATGTGACTCCTGCAGATCTGTATGACTTAATGACCGATAAATATGCGTGGTTAGGGGTAGTTTTATGGTTAGGGGTAGCGGTAGGGTTAGGGGTAGGGTTAGGATTAGATGTGACAATTTTGACACAGGAGTTCCAAATAATCGCGCACAGTCACATACACACCCAAACAATCGAAGGACTCTGGATGCTAAACGGACAATTCGCCACCGATTGGGCACCAGCCGCGCGCTATTGCCGTCATATTTGGGAGAATTCCAGTGGCACCACTCCCACAAGCATCACATTGTCGGCCATTATTTGGAACTCCTACGTCAAAATTGTCACATTTAACCCTACCCCTAACCCTACCCCTAATCCTAACCCAACCCCTAACGCCGCTAACACTATCCCTAACCCTAACCCAAACCCTACGCAACCGTATGACTACGCAACTGTATGATGATAGGTAAGTATGTAATTTGATTCGTGACTTTTTCGCTGCGTGTTTGCAATGCAGCCAAGGGAGAGAACTTCCACTAAGCTATCAGCGGCTTTCCAGCTAACGGCCTAAGTTGAAAGAAGAGCCCAGATCTGAAATTGTATGCAGACTGTCGGTTCCTTGCTTCTCAGGCAGATGCACTCCAACTTCAAAGGAAGCTCCCAATTCCGGCAGGCTTTTAGGGTAGGCAGTGGGTCTATTCTTGTTTTCCTCAAAACGGGGCCCTGGAACCCACATAGGGAACCACGGTACTTATCTAGCTCCTAATCTGTGTACACAATGGGAAAGGTCCTTGAACATTAAAGAGTTAACTGTGCTGGCAGCTGAAAACTAGGACAGGGAGCTCATGGGTATATCCTGAAAGCTGAGATATCGGTTCTTAGCTCAAGTGAATCTAAAGAGCTAAAACAGAACAACCTCCCTGTGTGGGTTATGGGGCATGAGGTTTATGGATCAGGTTTTCAATCTGAGGCAAGCCTTGATGTTTGTTAGTTAGTTAGTTGGGTTATCATCATTGCACTCCAGGCATGACCATAGATGCTCAGATCCTCCCCTCAGTATGAACCCCAACGTCCGATAGCTAATAGTACCAGTTCTATGTTGATTAACAAGTCTTCTGGTGTGTCTGGTGTGCGTCTCGTTTTTTGCTATGCCGATCTTAATTCCCAAGTCTGCCAAGTGATGTAAATTCACTGCCCCCAAAATCCTCTATCCCTCCCATTTCTCTGAGGACATTAATAATATCAGCGTGATCCATAGGCTGACCGTCGGTAGTGATGTGTGCTGCATAAAGTCTGGTGCTCATTTCTGTTTCCTTCCTTTGATGTGTCTCCATCCTGGTGCGGGAGAAGGATTTTGTGCATTCAAATCACCTGAAGAGCTACAGTGTGTGTGTTGTTTAACAAGATGATGATGACCACTCTTTTTCATCAAGTATGAGTACGAAGATGACTGATGAGGCCGATGCGGGCCAAAAAAGTTCTTGGGCAGTGAGGACAGGGAATGAGCGCTATGCCAGGGAGGGGATCTCCTGCAGTCCCCTTTCCGTCCATCCTTTTCTTAATCAGTCTTGCTGTTCTGTTTGCTGCACATGCAGCCATGTCCTTGTGTAGAGTTGCATGCCATGCATTTTGGTCTTGAGAGGCAGCATCCCAATTGGTGTCATTCATCCCAAATGCTTTGAGTACAGTAACAGAAGTTCAACTACCTAACTTCTACAGATAGGCTGCAGGGCTCTGGCTTACCAGATGGGATGGGATTCACCTGGTTAAATACTCTGTAAAACTGTGAAAGGTCCAGCAAGGAGGTAGTGGATAGAAGCTTGCTCAAAGAAAAAGTAACTTAAGATATCAGACCGATCCTTATGATAAACAATCACTGACCACTCTTTCAGTCCCAAACAACTTCAAGACTTTATCGTAAAGTGTATGTAGTTTAAGGTAACCTTCCATGAGTGTTGAGTTAAAAATAAATTTATATAAATTTATATGGGGAAGAGGGAGTTTCCAAAAAACTGGATTTTCTACGTCTACTCCGCGTTGACCAGTTGTAAACTCCGGTGGAAAGTTCTGGTTGTTCATCCACTTCTAACTTCAGTCTTGTACCTGAACTTGAGCTTTGCGTCAACATCTCTTTTACAGATGTGGCTTATTTGTACCAAGACTGTTGGTCTCTTGCCTCTCAGGCAGATGCACTCTGACTTTCATGGAAACACCCTTAATTATTCCTTGTTTACTACATGCTTTTGGGGGGTGGGGGGGGTGGGGGGCAGTGGGTCTATTCTTCCCCCCCCCCCCCCAAAAAAAATTGGGCCCAAACTTTTTGTTGTTTTAAATCAGTTCTTGATATTATGTTTATTCAGAAATGTGATTAAAAGCATAAAATGTAGCATGTTCGAGAGCTTTACCGAGTTACTAAGTGTCCGTGTTAAAAACAATATGGCCTCCGAGCAGACTTCTCCATGCACACCAAGAAGATTTATGACTTTAGATTTAAATAAAACACATGTTTATCAGATTTATTTGAAGCTAGACAAAAACAGTTATGAAGTAGACTTGTTTCAGCCATTGACAGAGTCAAACTTTGATTTGGGACAGCTCTGATTCATATAACTCACGCAAAGCCTTCAACGAAAACAAAGTCAGCTGGTACAAAGAGAATAAATTTAGTGAAAAGGGCAATATTCTTCAGTGTCAGGTCAGTGTGATTTCTTTCTTATTTGGAAACATAGGCTATAAAAGTACAGGCTTAATTATGAGTGTTTAGTTAATTTTTTGTGAAAATACTGTTTTCTGAAGTCATTTTCTTTTAAGAGAAAATGGTGCTCTATTACGGTGTTATAAAAGTTTCTCTGGAACAAGATCCAATGGACAGATTGTGTTTATATTTTAGTCATTCATAACTAAGTGGTTAATGTTCATTTGTGATTCATTTTGGATATATTTTATCAAGTTTTCCTTGGGTGCCATGGTGGTAAGTGGAAAAATTATTGTCATTTTACTAATTTCTCTAAACAGACCACCTGTTTATTTACTAATAAATAACTACTGTGGCAGTTTATTTTTGTAGCAGCATTCTAATATTATTCCTCAATAATCCTTGGTCACCCTGATGTGTAGTATGTGTATATTGCGCGGCAGCAGAATTAGTATGGTCTGTTTTGATGTGTCACACTCGCAACATTTCAAAATTGCATTACAACCCCTTAGACCTCTGAAGCTAAACACCCTGGGATACAAAGAGTTAAAATTAAACTAGAAAAACATTAGGACTGAAACCAGTCCTAATCATCATCCATTGCTGACTGGGGTGGGTGATCACGCCTCTCCACAACCTGCGATCTTCAATTCATATGCTTACACCCCTCCATTCTATGACAAAAAGTTGTCAAGAATATTCTTGCAATTCCTCCTCTCTCTCTTTCCACACATATTTCCATGACACAGGTTCAAATTCTCTCTCTTTTCATATTATGATCCAACTATGATGGCTGGTCTCCTTCTGATTTTTGGTACTAGCTGTCTTGAGGGCCCTAACCTCTTTCAAAACATCTTTCCCTTGAGTGTTGCAGCGCTACTCTCCTCAGACCGTAATGATCTATCTGTGCCTCCACACTGTTCACTCGCTTCCAAAAGATACTTACATCTAGCTTGTCATACACCGATTCACCACCAAGAGGTGCAGAACCAGCCAGTCTGTCTGTCTGCTCAGGCACTTTTATATTTATGTGTTACCAGGGCTGATAAGAACACTAATGAATAATGCAAGGGGTTTTCAAATGAAACCTTACCCGCGTGGGTTCCGGGGCCCCATTGTGGGGGAAAACAAGAATAGACCCACTGCCTACCAGAAAGCATGTCGTAAGAGTCGACTAATTGGTAGCTTCCTTTGAAGTCGGAGTGCATCTGCCTGAGAGGCAAGGAACCAACAGTCTGCATTCAAGTGAATCAGATCTGTAAAACTGATGCACACGCAACACTCAGGTTCTGGAGCAGGACTGCAGTCCAGGTGTAGACAAACAACCAGAACTTTCCGCCAGAGTGTACAGCTGGTGAACGCGAAGAAGAAGAAGAAGAAATGAAACCTTAAACATACAAATATTTATATTTCATTAAGGCCCACCATGTTCGTCTTGTGCTTAAACTCTTGATGTTCTTAACAACAATACTGACAGGTTACAAGACAAAAGCATGGTTATTGTAGTGTCTATCAGATGTTTAAGGTTTTCATTTAAAGAAATAGCTCTGTAACGTACCATGCATGTCATAAGAGGCTATTAAGGAGGAATGGTATGAGACTGTTTACATCATCCCGCAGAAAACTTTAACTGCAAAATCTAAACAATTGTAAAAAAGCTCACAAAGGACTGTGTGAAATGGCGGACGACCTGTGTTCTATACAGATGAAAGACAAAAGAAGGAAAATAGGATAGTAACAGGAGGAGATGGAGGAAGAGGAAATTCGTAGGAGGAGGAGAAGAGGTATAGGAAGCAGAAGAAGAAGAGGAGGAAGAAAAACACCCAATAAAAAAAAGAAGAAGAAGGAGAAGATGTGCTTGACCCCATCAAAACTAAACACAAAGAAACAATCTAAACTTGAGGTAAACTTGCAGGACAAACTAACAACTCACTGTTGCCGGTGTTATACAGAGCCTTCACAGATTTCTTCATCTTGGTCAGACTGCTTCGGTCTACATCCAGCGTCTGAAACAATCAACATACAAATAAGGCTTATGTTTCCATGTTGTTCTCACACTACCTTGTAGTATTCATTCTACATTTTTTTTTCTTTGGCATTGCAGCCTAACATACTACCACACATGGACTCAAACAGTCACTATTCGAATGTGAATCGTTTGTTCATTCGTCCATCACAAGTAATGAGAACCACTCTTTCTTTCATCCGTCAAGAAACTGCAGTTGAATGTGTGAGCCCGGCGGTGACTTATAAGTCCAATACGTGCCTGGAAGAGTCTAGGGGCAGGGCACAGTGTCTGTAGACAAAGGGCCTGCCTGACAGTTCTTTCTGGCCTGTCTTCGCTGTTCAGCTGCCCTTGTTCTAGATGACTTGCAGATCGTTGCACCTTCTCAGATATATGAGATGAAATGTACCAAAAAAAGTGACTAGCACGATGAATTGGATTAAAGTGAGGAAGAGTTACGCAATTTCGTCGACCTCACTCTCTCGCCTGCAACCATCTGAATCCAGAGGCATGATAAGTCCAGATGGCTGGAGATAAATGTGAATACAAAAGAAGTAAATCCCAAAAATCTATAAGACATTTATATTTGGCAACTACTATCCAAGCGATCTGTTTCTTCTTGTTTTCTGAACTGTTGGCAAAAATGAGTATACCTAATGCAAGTGGCGCCATGAAGGGCACCACACAATTACTGAGATTTTCTTAATCTGCAGTTCACAACACCACGCTGGTGACAGTGAAAAACTTTCAAGTGAAACCCACGCACCCCTCCTTTCCCCAGTAAGCATGTCATACAAGGCAAATAATTAGAAGTTCACCGACATTGGATGCATTCAACCGAAAGGAGCAGATAATCCAGCACAGCAGCTGTAAACCACAATACAATGTGCCAACCGCCTTTTCAAGGGTGAGAGTAGACAAAGACTTGCATATGTTTGTGTTTAACCCTTTCTCTGAGTCCCAAACAACGCAAGATGTGTGAAACACTTTGTCTGCTGAATCCTCTCCTTAGCTTAATATGCTCTCCTTCTTATTTTTCTATTTTGCCATAACCCACACAAGAAATCTGGCTCATCCAAGGGTCACCATTATTGTTATATTTCCGCTCTGAAAATAATCCACTGACAAATTTCAGTCACAGATATTTTGATTTTTTAATTTGATCCGACCACATCTCATTGGCTTCAAGATTTCATCAGGAATTTCTAGGAGTTTCCCAGTACAGAACCATATTATGGGGTGGGGGTTGTGTTAGTGTTAAATGAACAGCGACTACTATTAAACCTAAACCTATCCCCTTATACTATGGGAGGTTCTGGGGATTTCCCTACCCAAATCTCGAAGCTGATGAGATGTGGTCGTACAAAATTAAAGTACCGATATTTCTTCACTGGCATCTCTTACCAAACCTTGTTCTGGTACTAGAAGCTGATGCTGTCTTGTCAATGTCTATCATTTCTATGACAATCGAACATGTAACCTATATCGCACAGTGGTGGTAGGTTAATTTTATGCATTTTCCCCCAGTTTGACCTGCTAATGACCTCTTCAAAATAGTTATTTTTTTCAAAAATTGGCTCTCCTTTGATCTTCCCCCACATATAACGGCAGCCAAACAAATACCCTAATAGGGCCTCAGTCGTGTGTTAAATGCGGACTTTCTCCGACGAACACATCGCAGCAAAACTAGGATTACTTGACAATTTCACGACACGCAACACTGCAGACGATAGTAGCAGACGTTAATAGCGACCGTTGACAATTTCAACTGTTTCTGCAGACGATACTAGCCACCATTGGCAATTTCGAGACATGCAACATTACAGATGATAATAGTGATATGGCAGAGAGACCACACGCTCCGATGCAGATTAGCGATAGTGTTCTTCCAATTAAACTCACCGCCGAGCGTATCCCCTGCGCAGCGCGGATGGGTATCTAAACTAGATTTCTGGGACTCATGAGCAAATAAATTGGAGGAAGTTGCAGGAGATGCTGCTCATGAGTCCCCAGCCATCTAGTTCAGCCACCCATCCGCACCGCGGGGGATACTGTCGGTGGGCGGCATAGTCGCAGAAACAGGTCAGCTGAGACCCTGTTAGAGCATTTGTTTTGTTATTCAGAGCCAATCCTAGTTTTGCAGCGATTCGCTCCTCGGCAGGAAGTCTGCATTTTGCATAGGACTGAGGCTCTGATAGGGTATCTGTTTGGCCGCCTTATTTTGGGGGGGGGGGGGGGGGGGGGGGGGGGGGGGGGGAGCTCGAAGGAGAGCCCAAAAATGATTTGCAGTTCAGCTCTTCACCTCGCTATATTTGCTTAACTATCAATTTTCTGTATCACAATTCAATAATTAAAGATACATATCTCAGCTTACAATGAGAAGGAGTAAACAAAGTTGTTCGGTCATGTGATGAGAAAAGGTGCACTGGCAAATACCGTGCTGACCGGAAAGATTACTGGTAGAAGAGGCAGACCAAGAGAAATGCCAGTGGATGGCTTAGGACAGTGGCATGGAGGAAAATCATCAGTCGAATTGATCCAAAACACCACAGACAGAGATCTGGGGAGATGCATGAACGCCTACTCCGGCTGGCTAAGCACTTGACTTGAAGATGATGATGATCTCAGCTTGGAACTAATCTATAGACTTGAATATGGTATTATTACCATTTACTGTAAATGGTAATAATTTACACAAGTAAAGTATGCATCTTCAGTTGGTGTTCTTTTTATTTATTTTTTTTTTATTTTGATCTAAATCAGCTATCCCAGCAGTGCACTAAGATTTTAATTTCATTGCGGTTGTGCATTTTTACATTTTTGTAAGCAAAACACAATGACTAAATTCACTATATATAAATATAAATAAAACTATTAAATTAAAACAAATTACAAATTAAACGCATCGCTAACAATAAAAAAGATATCTTAAGTTAGTGTGATCTGCTAACTATAAATAGATTATCATAAACTGTTTTCAATACAATTTTTACAAGGTACAGTTCATTTCGGCTAAAAAAATAATTTAAAAAAATCACTTGGCCGCAAAAAATGAACTTATGAATGGACTCACTTCCTCGAGCGAAGCTACGGTCTGACGACAGACACCCATCTTGCTGGCGAATGTAGACGTGGTCGGAGAATTGAAATCTTCCCATGTTTCTCGGACAAAATCCTGCACCGCTATCATCTCCGCGGGTTCTTCTCACGTTTGACGAAGAAATAATTTCCTTTCTCTTCCTTTTACTTTCATATGGGGGAGAAAAAAAATACTGTCTGCTAGGAGGAAGTCATCTTGCTGCTTTCGCGCATTTGTTTTGTATTCAATATGGAGGGGACTTCATCAGAGTGGCTTCCCTTGTTCTTGAGTTGAGTCGAGAATTGACATCACAGCACTCGAGGCATTCTCATGTGTGCTCCGTTCCCATCTTCAGCAGCCAGCGCAGAGTTCCAATACTGATGGTACCGGTCACAATCTGGTTATATGTCCGTCTTGTCTTTCCTCTGAGTGTAGTGAGCCGGCTGGACCCTCTGGTTGCCCACAGGGGCCTCATTCTCTCCAGGCCATAATAATCTTGTTTTTCTACCGATTCCGTTGCTTGTTCCCGAAGGGCCTTGACCACATCTGCCTTGTTCACCACCCATTGATGCAGATCCAGCCAATCTGTCTGTTTGTTCATTACCCACTACGCCGGCATTGCCTGAAGAACAATTTCAAAGTATGCTCACTACCCGTTGTCTTCCCAATGAAGCTTGCCACTCTGTTCGAAGCATCCCTGTCTTCACCTTTCTCAGCATGCCTTCAGAGTCTGTTACAATTACGACATGTGTATGCATCTTGAAAGCTGCAGTTACCGCCTTGTTCTTGGTCCAAGAGGAATGAAGTATGAATGATTGAATCAAGAATTGACATTAATGTTATAGTGACATTTCCACGCATGCTCCGCCCCTTTCTTCAGTAACCAACAAAGAGTTGACATGCTAACAGTAACAGTTACAACCGACTAAAGGCCGCCTATGCTGCACCGTCAGTGTTGAATATCTTCCAAAACCTCTACACCCCCTCCCCCCTTCCCGGTTGAATTAGTCTTTTCAGTTTATGGATTTTCTATCTGCTCTTTTGCACAGTCCATTCGATTCCATAGAACCTTCACCACATCTGCTTCATCATATAGCAGCTCACCACCCAGAGGTGATGCAACAGCTATTCTGTCAGCCTGCTTGTTACCTCGCACATCTAAATATCCGGGACCAAAAATCTACATCTTCTCACTCTGGGTATTTTCAAGTGATGCAAGTCACTCTGCACAGAGGATATTAAGTTTCATTTTCCCGAAGCATGCTCTGTGAGTCTCTTACAATTACAACATGTAGGGTTGTGTTGCTCTCAAGCCGTCGGACAGCTGCCGGGTGTTACTGCCTCCACCTCCATTCTCATACTGGATGTAGTGGTGCTATACGCGGGGGTCTCTGTTTTCAAGCAGTTTCCATTCACCTTTGCAATAAATCTCCACCCATTTTTCTTACCTCTCACTACCGACCCATTTGTATATATTGTGATATCATCTGGGAGTGAATTTTCATTGATCAGCTCTTGAACCGCTGACTCTGTTTCACCATCTATCCATTCCCGGCACCCTGGGACCAAGATAACTATCGCTCTGTGCAAGTCAGTTCTGCTGGGTGGCACTGTAACATATTCTTCAAGATGCGTTATCTTGTCAGTAGCAAAAACAGTTCTGACCCTGACTTCTGCCTGTGCCATCCAAGAGCCACTTTTTGTTTCAGCCAAGACCGTCTCTATCAAATGGGGGTGGTCTTGTTTCAGCCGTCCCTTGCTATCCCATAAGGCCCTATGCAGACGGCGTCTATAAAATAAACCTGGCAAATATAACCCATATCCAAGCTAAATTAACTCTGTCCCGACAAAGGACCGATGTTTTTTTTTTTTTTTGGGGGGGGGGGGGGGGGGGGGTTTGTTATTTTAAAGCGTCATCTGAGCTGTCGTAGGGGAACATAAAATAACCTAACGGTTGAACAGGGTTTCTGTGACTTGCCCTAAGGGTGGGGGGTTAATCATCCTAATGGTGGCACCTTGTGTCACCAGGTGTTTATTGCTTTTTGTGCGTTTCTGGTGGTCTTAAACGCCACTCACTCAACCACTGTCCCACACCAGGGGAGTTTCTACACCAGGGGAGTTTCTACACCAGGGGAGTTTCTACACCAGGGGAGTTTCTACACCAGGGGAGTTTCTACACCAGGGCTATTCAGCTATGTTTAATCAGGGATGCTAACTTAAAAAAACTCGAACCCCAGCATTTAAAGATCATTAATAAAATACAACTGGCATTGATTCGCAGGCCACTTGATAGTCCTTCGCGGGCCAGATGTCGCCCGGGCCACCAGTTGAATAGTCCTGTCTACACGTCTACCGTCGGGGACCCCAATAGAACCAGCGTTTGAAAGGGGTTTCTGTGATCTGCACATGAGGGATTTCTCATTCAAACAGTGACACTTTGCAAGTAATTATTAAGGCAGTTTTCCTTCTAGAGTAATTATTTCAAGGGTTTCTCTGTCAGAATAATTATTTCTAGGGTTTCTCTTGTAGGGTAATTATTCGAAGGGTTTCTGGGATTTCTCTTTTATGGTAATTATTTGAAGGATTTCTCTTTTATGGTAATTATTTGAAGGGTTTCTCTTTTAGAGTAATTATTTCAAGGGTTTATCTGTCAGAGTAATTATTTCAAGGCTTTCTCTGTTTCTGGATAAACTTTTCAAGGATTTCTCTGGCAGAGTAATTATTTCAAGGTTTTCTCTGTCAGGATAATTATTTCAAGTGTTTCTCTGTCAGGGTAATTATTTCAAGGTTTTCTCTGTCAGAGTAATTATTTCAAGGTTTTCTCTGTCAGGGTAATTATTTCAAGTGTTTCTCTGTCAGGGTAATTATTTCAAGTGTTTCTCTGTCAGAGTAATTATTTCAAGGTTTTCTCTGTCAGGGTAATTATTTCAAGTGTTTCTCTGTCAGGGTAATTATTTCAAGTGTTTCTCTGTCAGAGTAATTATTTCAAGGTTTTCTCTGTCAGGATAATTGTTTCAAGTGTTTCTCTGTCAGGGTAATTATTTCAAGAGTTTCTCTGTCAGGGTAATTGTTTCAAGGGTTTCTCTGTCATGATAATTATTTCAAGTGTTTCTCTGTCAGGGTAATTATTTCAAGGTTTTCTCTGTCAGGATAATTGTTTCAAGTGTTTCTCTGTCAGGGTAATTATTTCAAGAGTTTCTCTGTCAGGGTAATTATTTCAAGGGTTTCTCTGTCAGGGTAATTGTTTCAAGTGTTTCTCTGTCAGAGTAATTATTTCAAGGTTTTCTCTGTCAGGGTAATTATTTCAAGTGTTTCTCTGTCAGGGTAATTATTTCAAGAGTTTCTCTGTCAGGGTAATTGTTTCAAGGGTTTCTCTGTCATGATAATTATTTCAAGTGTTTCTTCGTCATGATAATTATTTCAAGAGTTTCTCTGTCAGGGTAATTATTTCAAGTGTTTCTCTGTCAGGGTAATTATTTCAATGGTTTCTCCGTCAGAGTAATTGTTTCAAGGTTTTCTCTTTCAGAGTAATTATTTCAATGGTTTCCTTTTCAGGGTAATTTATAAATGGTTTCTTCTGAGTTGGAAGCTATTTCAAGAGAGATTTTAAGGATTCCTCCTTCATGGTAATTATTTTAAGGGTTGCTCCTCCAGGATACATACATGAAGGATTTATCTAGAAAAATTAATACTGCAAAGGTTCATAAAGAGTATTTGTTTTAAAGCTTGAATGATAAAAGAAAAGGCTGAGAATTATTATACATTATTAAGATCATTTTCTTATAGCCCATGCAGTGTGGCATTTGTAGTGTCTATCCACAACCTTCTGTCTCATATACTTTCAATCAGTTCTGTCACAAAACTTCTTCTTCTTTGTTCACCGGCTGTAAGCTCCGGGAAAAAGTCCTGGCTGTTCATCCATTCAGACTTTGGCTTTATGCCAGGGGCTGAGAAATCTGCATACATCTGTTTGACTAGCTTTTTTGTGTGCAGCTGGTATTCCTTGCCACTCAGGCAGATGCATTAAATTTTGAAGGAAGCTCCCAATTAGTCGACTCTTACAACATGCTTTTTGGGCAGGCACCGGGTCTGTCCTTGTTTTCCCCAAAAACCGAGCCTTGGAACCCACACAAGGATGACACGTATAATCATCCATGCCATCAGATCAAGCTATCCAGCATCTTCTCTCTGTTTTCCTCTGCCTCTCTTCCCCTCCAACTTTCCCACCGTCACGAAGTACTCCAGTTTTCTCCTTCTCATGTCATGACCAAATATATATTGTCTCCTTCTGAAGTGGACAATACATTTTCTCTGTGTGTCATTTTATTTCAAGATATTTTCTTCCAAGACATTTTCTATCAAGACATTTTCTTTCAAGATATTTTCTTCCAGGACATTTTCTTCCAAGACATTTTCTATCAAGACATTTTCATCCAAGACATTTTCTATCAAGACATTTTTTTCCAAGACATTTTCTTTCAAGATATTTTCTATCATTTTCTTTCAAGACATTTTCTATCAAGACATTTTCTTTCAAGACATTTTCTTAACTCTTTTATCTGACAGGTATACTGACCCAGTTTAGGCTTCCCATCCACGCGGTGGCGATATTTAGGTTAGTACCTTTCCTACACAAAGTTTTTCACCAGAGACACAGATGAGTATCATTTATTTAGTACATCAGAGTCCTATGTAGTCACTTCATAGTTAGAGCATATTTGTGTATGTGTGCTGTTTTGTTCTTTGTGTGCTGATGAAGGCTAATTGCAGCAACGTCCTATGTTTGTTCATTGTGATCTATTTTGTAAAGCCGATATAAACTATTTGTTCATTCTTAACCCTTTTTCTCTTCCCTATAATTTCATACCCTTTTAAAAACTTTTATCTGACCAAGGTATTCTCATTATTCATCTATAAGACCACATCTTCGCCACTTCCAAATAATTGTTTGCTAATCGCCTAACTGTCCATGATTCACGTCTGTATATCAGGACAGGATTTATATAGCTATTAAGATCAATACCACCTGGTTATTTAAAAACTGCACATCCTTTACGAAAATCAAAAAAGCCAATAACACATCAACTTGAAAAAAAAAATAATACACAGTA